GACTTTGTCCTGTAATGAAAAATGGACATATTCTGTAGATTTTTGGTTCACATACTAAAAAACAAACCAAAAAAAAACAAACAAACAAAAAAACCCCCACAACTATCACATTATAACATGACACCAACAGCAACTCAAATGGAACTTTTCTGTTAGTAAGTGACTTATCTACAGTTGTAAATTCTGTGAAAACGTATATGAAAGAAGTAAATATACTTCTTTCATATTTCTGTAAAAACCCGGAAGTAAAATCAAGGGGAAATGTTTTTGCTAATACGTTGCCTTTTCTGTTAACATTATGAACAAACATAAACAAAGGCACGTCTACAGCTGACTAAATTACAGAAAAAAATGCAAAGAAAGGTTTTAGAAAGCGAAAGGGACGGGGAACTGAATTTAAGGATTCTCAATATTTTGTATTTAATGTGGGTAGTTTGTCACAGCATAGGTAAAATATACAACAGTATTTTTAGTCAAGCAAAAGAAAAAAATGAATTACTGGAAGACAATGTGTAGATGGTAACTAAAAACTGCTTTCAGAATCAAGGCTGGTAATTCCTCAAAAGCAGATATCAATATTACATAAATGCTGGGATGTGTGATAGCGCATGCGAGACCTCTAATATCTGAATCATTTAAATAATCACTGGGAATGAGTAAAATGTGAAAAGTCAAAATTAAAAAGCGTAAGAACGACTGAGAAGGAATGGACGAGGCTAGAGATGAAAGAAGTGTTCATGATTGGATGAGGAGGAGGCGAGAGGAGAGCTTTGGCGTGATGCCTAGAGAGTCTGAGGATGCAGGAGACCAGCAGGAGCAGAAGGAAGAGAAGAGCCGAGCTTTGGCCCATCACCAAGGGAAAATGAAAGTGACTGCCAGAGAGAGAAGAAGGAGGGAAGAGAATGGAGGTGAAAGTGGGAGGCAAGGAAAAGAGAGGAGAGGCAAGAGACGAGAGGAGGAGGACACAGAGAGGAGAGAAGGTGGAAGGAGAGGTGCAGCCTCACTGCAAGAGAGCATGAGGTTGGATGAGAGGAGATCAGAGGAGACAACAAGCTACTTTGATGGAGTTGCTGTGTTTTGAATGTCGAACATGGAGATACGCACGCTCTCGGAGAGAGTTATGGAAGCACATCATAGATGGCAGACACAAGCACACAGTGTGTATGCATAAACAGACAAGCGCACATTCTCTCTCTTTCAAGTTACTATTTTGTAACTGGTGTCTGTTAGGCATATGCTGATAGAGCTTTGATGTTCAGATGGAGCTGCTGGGGATGAAAGCAGTTTGAGAGACGTCTGACGCTCAAGTATCTGATTTCATCTCCCCCTCTCTTGTTGCGCTTCTCTTTCTCTCTGTGTTTTTGCCAGCTAATTCCTCATTGGTTACTCTGAGCACAACCTGAAGCAGCTTCCAATCACAAAGGGCTACAATAAAGGAAGACAGAAATCCCTGATTGGCTTGGGAAAAAAAATAAAGAAGAAGATGATTTTCTTTTTAAAAACCCAAGACATCGTTAATATCTGCTTATTTAGGCCATGTTGACCAGGCACACGTACGCTTGTTTTACACTTTACACAGTTAGTGTTGGCTGCCAAGCAGCAGCAAGAGGATCTTGGCAGCAGAAAGTGAAAAAAATTAAGGTTATTGCACATTAACCGCTCCACATCTGGACTTCCCAATGCAAGATTTCAACTACTGCCCTTCAGGTCATGTGCAATATTTTATGCCAGAACATGCCTTGTTCACAAAAACTGACAGAGAAATGTCTTTGCCCACCACGAGGGGATTAGGTGGAGCTGACACGAGCAGAAACAGACAGCTTTGACATTTAAATAACAATCATTTTTGAACCATGACAAGAGTCCTATTCCTGACTTTCATCAAAGTTGTGTCATTTCACTGAATTCAATGGAACGAAAAAGATAAATGTACTGGAGAAATATAATTTCCACGTAATTTTGTAAAAGTAAGGCACATTTCTGAGTTAATCAGATGTGATAAATTAATTACCACATTACTTCTGTTGTTGCTGCATCATGTTGTTGATCAGTGAACTCACTGGCATAGTGAGGTTGACAATGAAACATCACTGTCAGTCATGTCTGATTAAAATCAAACTACGATGATGGTAAATATGATATCAGACAGGAAATGATTAATCTATCGAGTAGTTTGTTAGTCAACACAAAATCAACTCTCAACTACACTACAGTAAATGTGGTGGTGGCTCATTATGTGGACTTTGTCTCAGATATTTTCTTTAAATAACAGCATGTCCACAGTAGCAGCAAAACAGGACATTTTGCTCTGAGATTATACATTTCTGCATTTCTGTATTTTAATAGTGTACCAAAGGTCGATTTCCTGTTATTTAATGGTAAACATTATATTTAAAAAAAAAACCCCAAAAAACCAACTGGCATTTGCTATTATGTAATGGTGTATCTATAGTGGAAAATATGACACTTTCATTAATTTAATGGTGCATCCACAGTATAAAGACAAGTGTTAAATAAATCCAGAATGTAACAGATGTGGGGGCAGCCCACTACCTGGTGTTTGTCCTGTAATTAAAAAAATGGAAATTTTATGGTTCATCCGTTGTAAATAAAAAAGGGCAATCTTTGCCAGAAATATACTAATGGAAATACAAATTAAACTTTTCTGTTACTTAATAATGTAACTACAGTGTTTAAGAAAATGTTTCAAACTAATTTTTGTATTAATGTATAAATCTTTCACATTTCTGTAAAAATCCTGATCGAAAGTCAATATAAAAAAAATGCTCTGATTTGTTCCATGTTTGCTGATTCATTACATTCTCTCTTAACATTACAAACAAACATCAACAAAAACAGTAAATAAATGGACATACGTCTGCAGCACTGTGGACAAAGATACGGTCATACAGCTTTTACATGCAGATGTTTTTTTACAGTATAGTTATACTTGATTTGTCAGTTCAGTTATTTTTAATTTTTTTTAAAGATACTTTTTGGCTTTTTTTTTTAGGTAGGACAGAGAGCGAGACAGGAAAGTGGACCTGCAGCAAAGGGTAATGAGCCGGACTCGAACCCATGACCACTGCGTTGGGGACTACAGCCCCTATACATGGGACGCCAGCTCAACCAGGTGAGCTATAGCGGTTACTTTTTTAAGCAAAAATGCTAAACATACACTGCCAAATACACGACAATTATGCTTTTCAGATCAATTACAAGAGGCAAATCAGCAAAAACAGAGATACCCTGCTATATTTATAATAAAGACAAAAAAACATTCCCTTGTGGCTTGTGTTTGGATTTAAATATCACAATCGACTTCAAGCCTTAGTTTTCAGTGTATTTTAAAGTAAAATGTCACTCATAAACAAGCCGTCCTTTAATCATAGAAAGGTAAATATTAGTTCTTCTCCGTGTCAGAAACACGAGGTCCACTGCTCTGATCTGAGATGAAGACACACAGACTGGAGCTGCCTCATTAACAATCAGTGTGGAAATCAAACCCAGCTTCATAATATTCCCAAGTTGAGAGCCTTGAGAGCTGGAGCTGTTTTTTTTTGCATTTTTGGCAGCAAGTTTTGTCTCTAATAAAAACTTTATTAAGCTGGCAGACAGTCATTTATATTGGCATCAATAAACCACCACAGGAAAATACATATTTTCTTTTTAGCCTCGTTAAGAGATAAAACTGCTGTTCTTTTTTTCCTGTATTGAGACATCTGTTAGCAGACAGGGCTGTAATAATTGCACTAATGTGTGTTCAAGCCTAAAAAAAATACATTCTTCCTCTTTTATTGTCACTGTATGATTGTCCACCATTGTCTCAGGACTTCAGCTAACATTCTGCAAATCATCAGCTTGAAAAAGACCTCCTTAAACCACAACTTGACCTTTCTGTGACCTGAAATGAACAGGATTACTGAACAGTTGATTTGGTGAAGGGTGCCGATTACAGAGGGCTGCAGGTAATGAACAACCTATAAAACATAAACAGCAAACAAAAAAACCCCAAGAGCATTGGAAAGCAGCAGACACTGTTTACCAGAAACCCCTCCAAAAAACAGGTGACACGAAAATACAGTAAAATGGTATTTTGCTCAAGTCGCTGTGTAGGGTTTGGAGACCAGAGCTATAGCTGGAAAATATGGTCTTACAGAAGTAGCAAATCCTACATTTAAATAGGTAATTTAAATCAATTGCAGAATGACGCCATCAGTTTTAATTAGAGTTTTCCACATTGCCTGGCACAGAATGAAAACTGAAAAAAAAGCTGGAACTTAAATAGATGAGCATTACCAAACCAAGCGCATGAAATATGTGTTTATCCACTAAATATCGTGTGCTCTATCTCCAGTCATCAGTCGTGATTAAAAGTCTGTGCGCTCACAGCCATCGAATGCAGAAACATTTCATGTAAATCCAGCTCGGTTCCTAAAGGAGCACGTTTGCCGTGGCCGCGTCTTCAGCCGTTGGTGTTTTGTGTACACGTGTAGGTATGGATGTGTACATTGTATGAATGATGTCCTAATGTATTCTCCATGGACCCTGTGACACTGTTCAATTACACCACAGTTATTCAGTGAAAGAACACATTTACATGAGTGCAGTGTTTGAATACGACCCAGCATTTACAGCATAATGAGCTATTAGCATTACTGCCACAAGAACACACTGTGAATGCGAGATTTTCTTATTTAAAAAAAAAAGAAATAAAAAAATGATTTGATTCATGCTTAATTTGATTATGAAGACTGTAGAGTGCCTGACAAACAGCCTGCAAGACAAGGCATTGTTCAATAATATGAAAATACAATGGGAGCAGATGAAAGAGTCCACTTAATGCTTTTTGAGCCTAGTGTGCAGCTTAACACCTAAACAGCTGGCATTTACATTTTGCACTTATTTTTAACAACAAGACAGACAGAGAGAGACAAAAAGTTTGGGGAGGGAAAGGAGGATTGAAATTAAACTGAAAAATGAATTTACAACTGCAATTAACATAAATTATTCTATCAGAAAGCATTTGGAGTTCCTGTGTGAGCGTTGTAGTGTCTGGCATTAAAAAGCATCGCTGTTCAACAGCAGACTCAAAAACTGAAACGAGAAAAAGCACTTCATTCTAATGTACTGATTAAATAACAGTGACCAAAGCGTGAGTAAGTTCAGTGCCATAGTTCACTGCTCATAACAGGACAAGGCTGCAATATACAGGGGAAAAAATGATATTGCACATTTTTTTGAATTGTCTATGATATATATTGCGAAATGACAAAACAGAGCAACTTTTTCCAAATAACTCCATTTGTGGTGACTTTGTGATGCTAATTTAAACGGTCAAACTAATTAATTGTATTGCCTCGTGTGGTGGCAACAGTTGCAGGACTGTTGACGGATTCTTTCTGTAGCTGAAATACTTCCATACAACTGATGTTACATGAGTTCTTGTACCCAAATGTTTCTTTTAAGCGTTTCTCTGATGTTTCCTGCTCATTTTGTTGTGCACATGCCGAGTCTGCATGTCAACAAATCTGAGGTGTGTTGACTGATTGTATTCTATGTTTGTATTCTGTGTGTATTCATGAACCCTTGACTGGCAGTAAAGGATGTTCTGTCAGATAGATTTGGTTTTTTTGGAATCAAGCAGCAAAAAAAGTTGTCATTGTTATATTTTCATGTAGATTCGTTTTCTTTTCTTGTATGGAAAATGTCTGGACCATGCATACGTGATGTATTTGTGTACCTGTATAGCGTTTGTGACATTCCAGCTGGCTTCCCAGGCGGTGATGGTGGGAGAGGGATTAGTGCTGCTGGTGTTGGAGCTCTGACCTGCAGCCCAACTGCTGCTGGCTCGCTCTTTTTTAAGGCGACCACAGCGCTCAGAAGTCCCCTCCACAGCTCTGTCTCCATCTCGTTTCTCCTCTTTATCTTCAGAAAGTCTCTGTTGGAGCGCAGTCAGCCTGTAGGACCTCATCTTGTTCCCCTGGTTCTGGCTCAAACCTAACTTTTCCTTACTTCCCATCCCACCAGCTTGCATCTCAGAAGATTTTCTTTCCGTGTCATGGCTTCTGGTGTTTTTGAACCAAAGGGACTCTTCAGTGGAAACAGCCGAAGTGATGGTGACGGTCTTGGTTCCAGTGGAGATTACAGTAGTTCTGGTTTCTTTTAAAGCCGGCCTCTCCTGCCATAGAGTGCTGGTGGATGCTGCCTTGTCAGGATCCCCTGGATCGTCTTTGTGAGTTAGAGCCAAGCTGTTGTCTCTTGAGGATCTTCTGTTTCTTCTGGCGTCATCAAAACACTGACTATTTTTGCTTGTCATGTTGTTAAGGGGCAGTCTGCTGTCCTCACTGTAGGTCCGGTTTAACTCATCACTCTGAGTCAGAACCAGCATCTCCTCATCTTCTTGAAAGATTCTGGAATCAAAACATGTTTTAAAGTCACAACTCCATCATTCATTTTAGTTAGAAATCTTTGTAAACAGCATATTTTTTACTTCTTGATGGGTTCCACAAGTATTCAGGCATTTCAAGAGTATTAAAGGTGTCTGGTTATGGGGCTATTCTTTCAGAAAAAAAGAGTGTGCTTTAATTTAACCAACAAGTGCTGCTGTGCTCCTACACTTGTGTCAACAAAAACACAAAATAACACATTAAATACAAAAAACATATATTTCAATTAAAAACCCCAGATCCATCTCTCAATTGATATTATGACTTCTTTAATGTCTGTGTTCACAGAGCCCTGTTACCTATATTGATATGTTTGTTGTTAATACAATATTTAAACAGTATCTGGCACAACAGTTTATTTATGGGATTAGAAAGTCCTATCTGATCTTCAGTTTTACTAGTATACCTTTCAAGAGTGACCCAGTCTGTTCTTTTCCATTTTTAATGTGTGTATTTTTATGTTTCGAGTGTTTGCCTGTACTTTTTATACATGCTGTCTTTTTTCTTTATTATGTAAAAGCACTTTGCGAATTGTGTTCTTAGAAAGTGCTTTACAAATAAACAAAGTTTATTGTAAACCAACAATAGAGTAGAACAATACGGAACATGTTTGGTGCTGTGACTCACCTTGTGGTCCAGTCCAGATGCAGCCTCGACACTGCCCAGCCCCACAGAGACCCAGCAGCACTCCAGGGTTGCCCGGAGCTTCGAGCCCAGCGAAGGGAACCCATCTTCAACCTCAGAATGTTGCAGCCTCAGCCTCTTCGTCTCCGGAGCCTTCAGGTCCGAGGCAGCTCGACTGACCCTGAATACATAAGCGGACAAAAATCCTCAGCCGAATACACAGCCGCACGCCACAGTGTAGGCCGGTAAAGTAAACACAGGACTCCCATTTACAGCCACATAAGCACATCTACATAAATACCCACATGCACAGGTGTGTGAAATGACTGACAAGTTGGTGAGCTGTAACATTATAATATGCTGGTGCTTTCAGCGGTGAAGGAGTAAACAGCTATAATGGCCCACACAGTCAATAAGAACACTCAGAGACGTAGTGGAGGGAAAACTTAGGCGAGTTTACCAACTTTATTGCTGAATGCAATCCACATTATCAATATTTACAAGCTGAAATAATCAATGAATCATATATACAATGACAATAATGATCATTGCAGATTATGGGTGATATTTCACTCGTCATGTACATCTGCAATTATTCCAAAAGAACTTGATTTCAGTTTGAAGCTGCTTTGTTGAAGCGACAAACATTTTTCTGATGATGAATCGTCACTACAAATGGATTTTACCGTCTCAGAAATACTGTCCCTGACAGCTTTTCCTGTCTAAGGAAGACTTTTCTTTCCAGCAGGCTTGCCTATAGTAATGCTTTGTTTTTTGGCCGTCCAAAGGAATCTTCAGACAAACTTCAGTTGATCCAACAGCAGCGCATCTTCCCAAAATTCCACTTCATTTCTTCCCAGTCCATTCTGGAAACCATTTTACAATTTTAGTTTTAAGTTGTAAATCTCCTAGTGGACATGCTCCAGACTTTTAATCTGATTTGTTGGTTAGGTATTGCTGTTCTAGATCCCTAACATCATCTAGCTCTGGGATCTTGAATTTCTGAAGATTAGAACTAAAACATACGGAGACGCTGCATTCTGTGTTGTCGTTTCCCATCTGACAGAGCATGTGACCCAGCTGACAGATAAAACCATGAAATGTTACTAATGTTAAACCTATTTATTGTGGACTATTTCATTGTATGTTATTGTCTTATAATAATAATTATTTTTTATCCTTCTTTTTACTTTTTTGATGTACAGCACTTTGAGTTGCACTGTGTAAACTGCGCTATACAAATAAAGTTAGAATTATTATTACTAGTTATAACTTGGTAACAACATGTGTGTAAAAGTTAGTGTTTTCCAGTTCCATGCCTTTGTGAGAGACCGGACAACGTTCTGCCCCAGAGTGTGCTTAGTTGTCAGGGCAGCAGGAGGAGCCATAGAACAGCAGTGTGTGGAACTGGATGGACTCAACTGAACCAGAACTTCTCCATACTTCTGATGCATTCATCATCTTTTCAACTCTTCTTCTTTTTTTCTTTTCAGGCAGTCAAAACTGTGTTGATGCAACATTTCATTTGTTTTGCAGAACTGACGGTTTTATATCCAGCTCTGCAGAGCCCCGTTGTATGTTTGAAGACCTTTTTTGGATGCATATACAATTCCACATGTTTGTATTTGTCAGCAGCTGCAGACAGTAAGTGAAGTACAAGCTCAGTGGACTACAGGGAAAAGTAGTTTGATTAGCCTAAACTGAACTTTTTTTTTTCTTTTTCTCAGGAATTTAAAGTAGCACCTTTTTAACCTTAGTGGCACAACCTCTGTGAAAAATGCTTTTTTTAAATTTTATTTTTGTTATTTTTATTATTGTGATTCTGTTCTGTGATGGAGCACATTAAGTTTGAAATATAATGAATACTACACTAGAATGGTAAATCTCAGCTTGAATTGAGTAGGCTTGTGTCAGTATTAACCCTTTATGGGGCAGGTGACTGTATTTGGTAACTTCCTTGGACGTTCAATATGAATGAAATGAAAAATACTTTATTTATCCCAGAAGGGAAATTCAATGTTGTAAAAGCTCACTTTTTTTTTTTTTTAAATGAACATAACATATATTCTATACAACAACAACAACAATCATTCAGTCAGTCAGATTTGTAATGTGTCATTTGTAATATGTCCACCCTGGGTCTCTCATTGAGGTTGAAGAAGCATGTGCACTTGCCAAGCACTTTATAAATACTTTTTGCAATGTTTTTTTTTGCAGTTTGTTACGTTTTCTTTCATTTATTCTAAATCTTCCACACAATCTACCACATATGGTAACTTTATTAATCTTGATTTACAACTTTTTCTTTTTTTTTTTAAGTCACAAAAGTAAAAAATATCTCGAAATAGCCTTCAATAACACCCTAGGGTTGGAATTTGACAACAGTCCAAATACTAATGTTCTGAACTGCACATGGGAGTAACATCAGTACGATTGGGGGGGAAGATAAATCATTTTATTCTGATGAGTCTATCTATCTATCTATCTATCTATCTATCTATCTATCTATCTATCTATCTATCTATCTATCTATCCATCTATCCATCTATCCTGATATTCGCTTTCTCCTCCCCTCTGCCCTGGCAGGGAGCACAGAGGAAGAGGAGGAGTACCCGCAGACTTTGGATGAACTTCAGTAAACTTGTGTCCACTGATCGGACCTCGGCGCGACATGAAGCGACTCCGGCTCGTGTTTGTCACCGCGTTGCTATGGCAATGCTGCCGCGGCCAGCAGAGAGGTGAGTCACCGGAGACTGATCGATAATCGATACACCGTCGATACACGGAGCTGCTAATGTTGGGCAGCTAGCAGCAGCAGGTTCGGACTCGGCTCAGGGACTCGATTCATCAACGGATCACACTAGAAGTAAAAGTCCAACTGACACGAAGAAACAGGTTTAGTGGAGCTAAAAGAACACAAGATGTGTGAGTGAGGGTTTGGTCTGCTGGGGGTCTGACTTGGGAAGTTTCTTTGTGTTGGAGACGCAGCAACGTCTGAGGTTAGAATTACAGATGGATTGGTTATTTTAGGACTCATAAATCAGCTGTAGGGTATGAAGCTACCTCCACAGACAGACGGATGATCGGGTGAATGTGGGAACAACCCCCTTTTAACCTTGTTCAGGACTTTTGGGGGTCTTTTGTACCCCAGGCCATTGGTTTGTTTTTTATTTTTGAAGAGTTAAAAAAAAATTTTAATATAAAAGAGGGACATTTGTCATGCATTTGGAACCAAAAATATGTCAACTTATCAGGAAATGTATTTAACGTTGTATAAAATACCAACAAATGTTTTGCACATCTTCTTTCTTGGGGTTCAGTGGACCCCGAAAGAACTTCTATGTATGGCAACATGAAAGTCTTGACTAGGGTTAAGAACGCTGATCTTTCTATTTACTATATATGTTTTGTTTATTAGAAATCTGCTCCAGCAAACACATTCATTAATAAAACCATGGAGGCTCTTCTCCTGGACAACAAGCCCTTCCTGCCTTTCTATATAACTTTACTAATAATTAAATGACTGAAATTAAAATAATGATAATAATCAGCAGGGAGGGCATGCAACACTAGCCAAGGATTAGAAGCTAGCTATGTATAATCAGTGGACTAACTCACTCTGCTGTTAGAAATGGGATTTTTTAGGTTGATTGTAAAGTAATCTATCAGTTAATTGATTAGTTAGCTATAAAGTAATTGGTTAGATTTTTTTTAAACATTTTTTTAAAAGTTGAATTTCTCTGAATCCAGTAAATATTTTCTGAACTGAGTGTCTTGAACTGACAAATCAACACATTGGAGGATGTCATCTTATGCCGTGGGAAACACCGATTAACATTTTTTAACATTGTCTGACATTTTAGAGATCAAACAGCTGGTTGATTAGTGCTTAATGAGTGATGAAAAAGAATTGTTAGTTGCAGAAAATGTGGCCAAAAAAAAAACCCTCCAAAAATTCTGCGTGGGTGTATTTAGGTTTAAGTAAGAATAAGGTTTTTGTTTTTTTTTTTATTTCAGATGACTCTACCCTTTGAGCAAATCATACCATGAAATGCACTCGAGAACAAGACACTGCTCTTCTACTGGGTGTATTTGCGGGGCTGTGAAAGATTAATTTATGGGCTGTGTGTATGTGTTAGGGCCGTGACATAGTCAACAATGAAAAATGAGCAACAAAGCCTTGAGCAGAGATACGGATTGACGGCTGAGACAAAGCAATATATCATGGTTAACAATCAGAGTCAAAATATTCATGCAAGCACTGCCTCTTAGTGTAGTTAGGCAAATTGCCTCACTTAAACACAAAACGCAGTAGAATTTGACCTTTTTAGGGGATAAAAACAAATGCTTCCAATGCGTGAAGATGATCATCGGTGCGTATTTGTTTGCATGTGCGAGTCTAGCGTTGGCTGGTGTTGGTAACTGTCGCTTTGAAAGATAAGACAAATCTATTGCTCGTCATGCCCTTTTCTATTTATCCTCTTCAAAACATCTCCAACTAACCCAGGAGGGCTGTGGGCCTCCTGCAGAGGAGAGGAGGGAGGCTGCTGTCAGGATGTGAGTCTCTCTGCATACTGTGAGAGAGAGGGAGCGAAAGTAGGAGAGGGTGGGAGAGGCCATCTGCGTTAGGAGCCTCATTACCAGGCGTGTCAACCAGGCATGCTCTCTATCAGCGACGGAGCTCAGAGAGACACCAGGAGATAATCAGGAAGAGGAGGAGGAGGAGGAGGAGGAGGGCTGAAGGAGAGAGAGAGAGAGAGAAGAGGGGGCATTCAAGACTTATTAGGCATTGGATGAGACATCAGTGATAGAGAAAAGATGGATGAAACAGGTAGATGAATGGTTCAGAGGACACAAGACAGAGGAGCAGGTCAAAGTCAGGCACTGGAAGTATGCGACCTAAAATAGACGTTTTTGTTTCCTCAGTATTGTTTGACGGCAGGAATTGAAGCAATTTTGTTGAACAAGATTCTTATTAATTTTTTTGTTGGTGATGGTGAAAGTTCAAGTAAATGAACTAATTTTTCGTAATACAAAAAGCTGATTTATCTATCAGTCGATACACAGGAAGAAAAAGGGACAGTTTTAATAACTGAATAGCAAAAGG